TTTAACCCAAAAGTTGGGTTAGTCCATATTTGACCCAAAGTTGGGTTGAAACAACCCAGCAATTTTTAGAGTGTACACTAAAACTAATAAAAATATTTTTAAATCAAATAAATTCTAAATTGAAATAAAGCTGAAATAAACTAAAATAGTATTGTAATAGTAATAGTAAAAATAGATAAAAATTTTAACTTAATTTCCGTTTTTTAAAGTTTAAAACTAAAACTGAAATGAAGCTAAATATAAATGCTAAATAATAATAATAATAATAATAATAATAAAAATAAATATGACAGGCACATAACAAAATTACTAAAATGTAAATTAAAATTAAAACTTAAAATATAAAAATGAAAGCTAATTCAAAACATTAATAAATACTATAATCAAATTCAATTCAATTCAAGTTTATTTGTATAGCGCTTTTTACGATACAAATCGTTGCAAAGCAACTTTACAGAAAATTAAGTTTCTACAATATTTAGTGGTAGCTTATCAGTGGTGACTGTCAGTTTATGTACATATGGCAGAAATGTATGGAAAAATCAATTAAAGATGTAATCAAACAGACGATGGACACTATTAACAGCAATTATTATATGATGCAATCAAACTTGTAGCAAAATAACACTAATATAACTGGACAGCCATTTGGTCTGACCATCTGAAAAGCTCCCAAAAACCTTTTAAAACCTGTCAACAGACCAGACTAACCAGGCTGGTTCAAGATGTCTTTTGTTTAGTTTTTTTCCCGGCAGGGTGGGTTCCTATCAAATTGTGGGAATGCTAATAGAGCTGAGTGGGATTTCATTCAATGCACTTTTAGGTCAGCTGAAAGAGAGAAGAGGAGAACTTCAGCATGGAGAGTAATTAACATCAGCAGAGCGTGGTTAATACACAACTTCATTTACAGCCTTCATGTGCTAGTTTGCAGGTAGCACACGCAGTTCAACATGAGAGCTGCTGCTTCAACGAGATTTCATGTCTTTTTCTTTTGGCTTCCAAATCACAGCATTTGTCAAAATAGTCACAATATGATTATATATTTAGTTTACCAAATTGTGCAGCCCTACTTCTACAAGCCCTACTTCTAGCATTCGAAAATGTGGGGTCAGTAAAAGTTTTTCTTTTTTTCTTTTAAAGTAATACTTTTATCTAGCAACGATGCATTAAGCTGTTCAAAAGTGAAAGTAAAGACATTTATAATGTTATAAAAGATGGATCATGTGACACTGAAGACTGGAGTAATGATGCTTAAAATTCAGCTTTGCATCACAGGAATAAATTACATTTTGACATAGAAATCAAACAGAAAAAAGTTATTTTAAATTGTAATATTTCACAATATTACAGTTTTTACTGTATTTTTTTTTTTATCAAATAAATGCAGCCTTCATAAGATAATATTGAATAGGCTATTACAAAATATAGAAAAATCTTACCAACCACAAACTTTTGAAAGATAGTGTATATGTATAACATTTAATCACATACAAATTTTGATATCAGCTATTTCTGTCAGAACATACTATAAAAGAGATACCAGCCACAAGGTCATATCATGCATTAATCATTCTTGCTTTCCCTTCAAGTGAGACAAGGACTGACGTACACTAAATCTGCACTGTACAGTGACAGAAGAATCGCTTACACAGAGACCAAACACAGACCAAAGGTTAAGGCTTCAAACACAGGTGTCATGACTAGCATAGACGGCAACAGATCCACAACTGCTATTCAAGACACAGATGACCCAGAACGCAACATTTGTGCATCGAGCTCAGGGGGTGAACAGGATCAGAGGGGGCTTGACATTTGCTAAAGCAGATGGCAAGGTTGCTGTCCGATGTAAGTCGTGTCTTAATCTCTGTACCTTTTATGCTCTAGTCTTTACATACAGTATCTCTCTATTAAAGGTGTTCACACTGATGGCGATTTGCAGCGACTGGTGAATAAGACCTTTATTTCCACCATGTTTGTTATTGTTTACTAAATCAAAAACTATTAAATAGAATTTTCACTAACTGAATTACCGCTGAAATAAAATAAAAAAATACTAGATTAAGAACTTGAATTTTAAAACCTAATTAAAAATGTAGAAACTAACTGAAATAAAATAAGTTTAAGCTGAATTGCTAAAATTACTAAAACTGAAATGGAAATAAAGTGAATTACGGCTAAACAGAAATATAAAAAAAAAGAGTAAAAAGTGAATTAAACTAAACATTCAATTCATTTTCTATGAATTAATGCTAAACAGAAATATTTAAAAAATAATTTACAATAATTAAAAATAATTGTAAAAATAAATAAACAAATATTAATTTAATTGTTATCAGTGTGAGTGCACCTTTATGTACAAAATAGCATAATAATAGACATGGAAATACTTCTGCTAATAGATTTGGTTATATGGTTAAAATTAAGCAAATACAAAGTGACTATGATGAGTAAGAAATAAAATAAATGATATCAATTAACTAAACGGCATCTATGAAAAAAGAATAATGAAAAACAAGTAAAAAATTAAGAAGCCATCAGAAGCAGATCTCAAATGTGAAGATGTTTTGGAATTTCCTGAAACTGTGTCTCACTGGTATATAAGAGTACGGTACATTACTGAAAGCCAAGCTACAAAGGGGAAGTGACAGGTGACTGGAGAGACGAAATACAACAACTACCATAAAGACACAGCAACACAGCAACATAGCAGCACTGCTAACGGTCAACCCTCTGCATTCAATCAGGACCAGATGAGATGGCAAGACACCAGTGCACCTCCAATCAAGATGTTCTTGAATGCATCTAAACCTTTAGGGTCAAAGGTCAGAGATTTTGAGGGTTGTCCATCTCCATGGAAACCATCCATGGGCTGGGAGTGAAATGTTAGCAGTTAGAGACATTAGTGCTGCTGGCAGGGCTGTAGGGAACAGGGGCCTTGAGCAATGAATTGGGCTATGGAAATGTTTTAGCGATCCATCAGTCAGAACAGTACATCGAAAAAATGTAAATGTTGTTATCATTTACAATCCTCTATTTTGTGTAAAATCTGTATTTATTGTGTTTCTTTTGAAAACACAAGATAAAAGTAGTGTATGTGACTCATGTGCTGTATTCCAAGTCCTCTGAGGTCACATGACAGCACTGTGTGAGGAGCAGGCTGAAATTTAAGTCGTTAATCTTCTCTCAAACTTCCTTTGCAATTGTAGTTTTCAAACTTGCCTCATTAGAGAACCAAAATGAAGTTTGCGAATGAAATTTGAGAGCACTGGTGGAAATCCCACATGGAATCTGTGCCTGCAGAAACATCCACAGAATGGGAATGCACATCTATCACAGAGTTTGCCAAAATCAGTGCAGAAAAAAGAGAAATGTCTGCAGATTATGTCTGTCCACATATGCATGAGTTTTGAAATTTTAGAATACAGCACACGAGTCATATATAGTGCATATAGCAGTCATACCGCTTTTTACTATCCCGATCTCATGAGACAACAACTATTTTATGAGCTGGCGATTTCATATGAATTCAGACTTTGGTTTGTATTTGATTTGAATGAAAATTAAATTTTTTTTGTTAAAAAAAAATGTGGTTAGGATAAACTAAACTAAACGAAACTGAAAATTTATGATTTTAGAAAAAAAGAGTGGATAAAAAATAAAATAAAATAAAATAATATAAAAAAATAAAATAAAATAAATAAAATAAAACAAAACAAAACAAAACAAAACAAAACAATAAAATAAAATAAAATAAAATAAAATAAAATAAAATAAAATAAAATAAAATAAAATAAGATATGATATGATATGATATGATATGATATGATATGGGCATGTGCATGAGAAGTGGGCAGGAGCCTGAAGTCTGTATCCGTCTCCTATCAATTAGATTCTGATTTATCCCGGGAATTAAACCAGAAAGACGACCTCCCCTCGAAGATAATGACTTCAATTAAGCAATTAAAAATCAAGGAAATGGCAGACTGAAGTGAACCTCACAACCCTCTGTGGAACTCAAGCCACGTCTCGCTGAGAGCGATGGGCTGACCTAAAGATTGGACATTTCATCTCGTTTCAGGCTGGATTGGGGTGTACACTGAATGATAAAAAGCCAACTAGAATGCTAGAAAATGACACGGACTGCCCTAGATATAGTTCTTTCAGATGGGGTCAATGGAAAATTTTGACTGGCGCGACTCACAGGCTTTAGGCATGTATTGTGGGTCATGCAAATTGACCTTGAAGAATTAAGATATCTAAGTCAACTTTTTCAGCCTAATTTTAAGTATGAGATCACAGGCGAAATTCACAAAACCTGGAGAACAAATAGTTTACTCCAAAAATCTAAATAAATCATAAGAAATAATATATTGCATGAAAAAATGAAGTCTTTTTTAGGCCCCTAGGGATATTATTTAAATTACACTTAATTCCACACCAATTCCACACCAATTCTCATTACAGATTTTTTAATATAGGCTATATTTTGTATTATAGTAACAGGAATTTAAAAAAGGTTGTTGAAATTTTTGCTTAATTGTCATGAAAATAATGCAAAATGTCTGAATTCACCTAAAAACAGGTTTCATTTTCTTCATGCGAAATATAATTTCCCCATTTTTTTCATTTCGATTTTTAGGGTGAAACATGACTTGGAGACTGCTTTGTGACATTCACCTTTGCAGGTTTCATGAGACTCAGGTAAGTCCCTGTAAGCTAAAGAGGATCGCTGGAATGGAAGGCCAGAACAGAGAAGACTGAATGGACTTCCCCTTTCAGTACAGCCCTGCGCAGAGAGAAGGGGTCCCTTACCAGCCGTAACCAAGACTCACTTGGGCGTGAGGCGAGGGTCTCCGTAGGGGGCGTAAGGGGACATGTTGAGGAGGAACTCCTTGGGTGGGTAGGAGCTCCAGCGCTGCTGCACAGTGCTGCTGTCATTGTTATTCCAAAAGTCCCTGTCGAGATCACTGCTGACAGACAGAAAGACAGCTGAAAGAGCAACACAATGTATCTTCACGAAGAGTCAAACAGGAAAAAAACTGCAGAAACAGAGTTCAGATAGACAAGACAGTCCAGGGAGAGAGAGAAAACACTGGTGTAAAACTACAGTAACTGGCTGAGTGGAACGATCAGGCCACACAGAGACTTTTTCAGAAAAGCTTTCTCTTGTCTAACAACGGTCCAGAGCTCCTGTGTTTTTAAGTGGCATGAAGTCTTGAAAAAGTAAAAGATTTCTGAACACAAGAGCTGATGTAAAAATAGCTCTAAGGGTGAGATTAAATGGGTTTTGATATGGATATTTTGCACAAACAACTTAAAGTCATATTCATTCTGTGCTGTCAGTACACTGGATCTGAGTCTTTCATAGCCTACTGTAGTTTCAAACTTCTAATCTCTATAAAAACAACAGAAGCAACGAATACAGAAAGGAGAAGACATATCAGAGGTAAGACACCCAATTAGTGGTGAGGAGCATTACCAAAATCATATATAATAACAGTATATCAAACTATATAGTTGTTTTCATGTAAATTAGGCAAAAAATATAGTACTCTCGGTGCATCATCTCATTTCATTGTTTTATAATTTCATCTGAAACATAATGGATGGCCAAAAACCACAAGAAAAGATATTAATAACAAATAAAGAACTGAATGAAATCTCACATTATGTAACATACATAAAATATTTTTCCAAACTCCAGCATATTATCCACATTAGAAAGAAATCAAGTTAGAGATAAAGTATATTTTCAAATGGACTGGACTGTGACTTAAACACTGCCAGCTGTGATGTTTAGTGTATTCATCTGTTCTGACAATGTCTGATTGGTCTCTATTAAAACTCCAAGCCTTATAAATGAATCTCCCATTTAATATTTAATTTGGGTCGATGCAGGCATTTAATATGATAATAAAAGTCTGAACATATTTGAGTTGGTTCAGGTGCTAATCCATTTACAACACACACACACACACACACACACACAGGGGTACAGGGACACATGCAAACATAAGAGACACATAAAATAACTTATTTCTGCACAGAAGGTTAACAATGAACACTCATCAAGCTCTAAATAGAAGCAAAACTTGGCAATTCTTGAAAAATGTTCACACCAACTGGCTAGTAACTTGTTTACTTATTTACTCACCATCTGGTTGGTAATACTTTTAGTAACTGTCACATAATACATGATTTAAATCTTATTTTTCAAACGATTTAATGCTGCAAAGTAGCAAATCCATATGGTATCATTTTTCTGGCAGTCACTGACTGGTTAATTTCTGGTGTTGCAAATGACCTGTGCAAATTGTTGTATGCAAATAAAAAAACACCTAAATAAATTATTTGTCCTGGAGAAATAAACAATAAAATTTTTTTTACCTTAAATTAATTATGATGGTGTATTAATGTCACTTAAAAATGTATTTGGTGTTTTAGTGCCACTTAAAAAACTACTTTGAGAATAACGTTAGGTAAGTCAAATGTTTTGAGAATAATCTCAAAATAGACCTTTGAGTTTCATAATATTCTCAAAATATTAATATTTTAATCTCAAAACTGTTATTTAGGGTACTGAGAAATAGGGAGTTTAAATGTGCAAATACATAAATACACACATTTTATGGTTTGCAAAATACAACCAAAAATGACAAACCATTTATTATATGACAATAATGGCAATAAAATATAATGACATATAATGACAATAATAATGAAATATAATGACATAATATTTTTTAAAATAATTTTATAATTTTAAATATAAAAAATTCTCAGCATTTAACCTAGTTTTTGGTACTGTTATGACTTAATTCTCGAAATCATAGATTTTTGTTTTATTTTAACATGACATTAAAACTCTTATCATACAGTTAAGTATCATAATGCATGTAAACGTTCCACACTGGTGTTGTGGGCTCCTCTCCTCCTTCAGTAAAAGAAATCGAAATGTCTCATTCGAGTTTGAGAAACACAATGAAATGTGCGGCGGAACGACTCTTCCTGCCCTTGTGCGGTCACAGGTGATTAGCTGTCTGGCCTCTTGTACTGACATAAAAACAGTTTCCATCTGCTGCGAGCTGCAATGGTGTCTAATTAGAGCATTGCCTGATTAATATTCCGGCTGCAGTAGTTACCAGAGCAAGTGCTCCAAGTGGATTATTGCTGGAAGTGTGCTGCTTCACACTGCTGACCTGATAAACATCATCAAGTGTGTGAAAGCCATCACACACACACACACACACACACACACACTTACTATTTTTAAAGTGCGTTGAGGTTATTCCTGTGGTTTGCTCAGAATCTATCTATCTATCTATCTATCTATCTATCTGTCTGTCTGTCTGTCTGTCTCAATTTCAAATGGTAGTATGCTACATTGTTGTCAACTAAAATTTTGCTCATTTAAATCAATTGTTTGTTTGTTTTTTGTCTAAAAAATATTTTTAAAAACCTAACAAAAATGGCTTGATTTTAAATAGAAACTAAAAATGTCTTCTGCTTCATTCATAACTTGGAAAATTCAAGGTCAAGTCAAATGTATTTCCATATTGTGATTCTGTCCATACTGAAAATTTGCATACTGTGCACAGCATAGAAAGGGCAAACTGCAAATAGGAAATTTTTATGGTAGTATGGCATTAGCCAGAACATGAGAACATAGGCGGTTTCTGATATTTGCAAACAACAAGCCAGTGTTGTCCATAGTACTGACCACAACACATGCCACAGCTGGTGTGAGAATTGAATATAACACTTCTGAAACTATAAATTAACACTTCTGAATTAATGACAAATAAGGAGGGAATATGAAACATGTTTAAAACATATGTGTATCAATAACACAGTTAGGAATGACACATTTGCTGTTTCTTATTTTGCAACGTATGCGATGCTTGGAATAGCATGCTACTCCAAATATTTCTGTGCACAGTATGTGATTTTGTGTTGATATGTAAAATAACAATGACAAATGTAAACCAACGCTGTATTTGTTCGGTACACATGCATACCGAAATGAAAGTATATCCAAGTATATACTGTGCAGTATGCAGGATTCCATTCTGAACACAGACTTTTGGATTTTCAGTTCTACGTACAACTCTGAGTAGCACAAGAATGCATATTTTCCTCTCATTATTGAGACATTAGCCGCTATAGTTAAGCCCTACAGGAGGCACCTACTTGATGGCTTTATTTTCTCCTCGGCCTCTCCCTGACACAGACACCGAGTCTGGGGTCCCCGCGGTCTCCACCCCTGGCTTATTCCTCATCCCCTTCAGAAAGAAAGAAAGAAAAGTGAGAGAACAACACATGGATGAGAAATGGAAGATTGCCTGATGTAATATCTCCAAGTGCCATATTTAAGCAAATCCTGTGCAAGCGCTGCAAGTCCCACGGTTTAATTAATCAGTACAGCTAGACAGATGCAGTGATAGAGCTAACACACAGCATCAACAGCCAAAGAGGGGTTTTACACAGATATTAATGACAAGTCTGAGACCCTTGGGGTGTTTACACACTAGAGAAGCTCTAATGGAGTGTTTGATGGATTGGAAGGCATAAGATGCACTTTGAAGATGTCGAAAGAGCAGGTCAATCTGCAATCAAGCGGGAACACAGTGAATTGGAAGATCTGCGAAAGCACAAGCGGATGCCTACATCAGAATGCATTGCAAAAGTTTACATTTTCTCCATTCTTGAGAAGCTCCAGTAGACACTCTTTCCAAGTAGGAGTGAAGAAATGTAGAAACTTTACATTTTATTTCACTTAACACTTATTTCAAGTAAGGAAAATGGTTTTAATTATATATATATATATAATAACTGTAGTTTACAGATAAATATTAATATTAAACATTTATTAGAAAAACAGATTAAAAAAAATTATTAAAATTTAATAAGCAAATTTAATATATCTATATTTAATGTCAAAACAGTCGTGCTATTGGCAGACAACTGAGACAACTCTACTGATCGATGCAGCCAATTACATAAAGGCTAATTACATCATTTCCTGTCTGTCAAAGATGCACTCCTCCCCACCATCTCTTGATTGGCCAATCCATCTCAAAGTGATTCTGCAGGTGGAGTATTCATTACAAAGTCCTCTGAAAGCCATCAGCCGCCAGCAGTTGTGTAAGAGATGATAAATGATACGAACGGGAGGAAGAGAGAGCAGCGTCTTGGCCTGGGTGCAGCAATAGCCTGCCAGTTTCGAGCATTTAAATTACGTCGCCTGCCAACATGCAATCGCTCCTCTGCCATGATCTGTCTACCGATGTAATGAATGGTAACAAAAGAGGAAGCAAAACAAGCGTGTTCATACACAGGTACAAACGTCTTGTGATTTGCGACACAAGTGCGCTCATTTGCATTAGGAGACATGAGTTAGAACTGGAATTTGTGCCATGCCCCACAGGAAGTGGAATTAGAATTTGAACTGGAATGACAGGAAAAGGAATTTAGTAAAGGAAATTCAACAGTCACAGAAGAGAGATAAAAAAAAAAAAAAAACTGTTATTGCACCATTCATTTTGACTAATTATGAATATTTTTTCCAGATATGTAACACAGTCAACAATTTTTTCAAATGAATTTCTTGAATTAGTTTTAATTTTTATATTCTCTGTTCATTTTAAGTTAAAATTGTACTAATTTTGTTGCATGTTTTAAAACAAGGTTTATATAGTTTTTCATTTTTATTTCAGTTTAGTGCAAGAAAATGTTGCTTTTTGTAGCTGAAATAAGTTTATTATATTAAGTTTTTTTTATTTTTTTTTTTATATTGTAATTTTTTTTTTAATATTTTTATTTTTTATTTTTTGTTAATGTTAATTTCAAGTAATGAAAATGTTTTTAATGGTTTTAGTTACCAATAATAACCCTGGTTTACAGATAAATATTAATATTAAAATTAAGATTAAGATTTAATTTAAATATTAAATTATTATTAAATTATTATATGAATACAATTATTATTAAATATTTATAATAATTTAACATTTATATTAAAAATAATTAATAAAATGAATGATAAAATTGAAATGAAATTTAAAATACAACACACAAAAATAAATATTCACCAAATTTGAATATACTGACTATATCATGGTTACATAAGTGCTCTTCCACCATGATCCATACTTTCTTTTTTTGGGGAAAATGCCATACAATTCATCAAAAAATGAAATATACAGTATATAAATTAAATACAAATATTTGAGATAATTTAATAATTAAATATTAATTTCATGTTTTGTCTCTTGAGTATAATAACATTTCTGTTAATTCACACAGAAAAATTAAACGTGTTACTAAGAACTACGGTACACTATACTCTACACTAAGTACAGAGGTCCTCTGACCTTTTTGACCTTATTCTTTTTTCCTCCCAAATCCTTAAATTACAATTATGCAAAACAATATATATAAATATATATATATATATATATAATAAGTCATACTTCCCGCACCTCCTCTCACACAGACACAGTTGTTTAAGATACGAAATGCTAGTGTAGGTCTCTGACAGGCACACAGTACGCTATCAAGTGTGGAAAAAAAGCAAAGCGAAAGAAAAAACATCAAGGAGAAAAACAGCAAAGGCAGACTAGGAGTGGGTTTTCAAACAGAATTTACAATCACAAAAGAAAGGCGAATGAGCATGGGGAAATATGACATCATCGGCTGATAGAGAGAGCGAGACTGTCTGTAAGAGAAAGCCAGAGAGAAGGAGGGAGATCTTTCACAGGTGGTCGTCTCACAACAGATCCAGAGAGAGAGCGCTGCATCCTCAGATCTCCTCACTGACACTCCTTCACCTGCATTTCTCTCCATCATCTTTTGTTACAAGATTTACTTGTGAAAAGGATTCCTAACAGTCACATCAGAAAGAAAAGTGTTAGACAAAGAGAGATGGAATGAGTGATCAGCTGAGACAGAACGAATGATGTGAGACAGAATGACAGACAATAACAGAATGATACACAGATACACAGATAGAACGATAGACAGACACAGACAGACAGACAGACAGACAGACAGACAGACAGACAGATAGATAGACAGACAGATAGATAGACAGACAGACAGACACGCACACGCACACACACACACAGACAGACAGACAGACAGACAGACAGACAGACAGATAGACAGACAGACAGATAGACAGACAGACAGATAGACAGACAGACAGATAGACAGACAGACAGATAGACAGACAGACAGATAGACAGACAGACAGACAGACAGACAGACAGACAGACAGATAGATAGACAGACAGACAGATAGATAGATAGACAGACAGACAGACAGACAGACAGATAGACAGATAGATAGACAGACAGACAGACAGACAGACAGATAGATAGACAGACAGACAGACAGACCGACAGACAGACAGACAGATGACAAAGGCCAGGGAGGCTCTCACTGTGCAGCCTTACATAACAGATCCCAGCTTATTCACTCATTAAGATCAGTTCTGCTTCTGCTGATCAAAAGACTGACCACAGACGCTTTAATTAAACCAAAAACACTAATCCTTATTTACAGCAACAGTCAAAGTCCGTTTGTAAAGGAGTTTGGGTCATGACGACTCAAGGCTGATGTTGGCACAGGTGAATCTCATGAAAGAAAAAATTACTTTTTGCTTGAACCAAGGAAATCGGTCATACCACTTACGTTTTTTGGATTGTGATATTATTTACTTGAAAATCAAGCACATTTTACCCTCAAATTGTCATTATTGTTACGCAAAAAATGTCAATAATAAATAAATCAATGTAATGTGTCAATTTAAATAAATAAATAAGATGTAGAATTCATACCTACCTTTGTAATGACTTTAATTTAGTTGATTTTAATAAAACTGGGTGTTTCTTCAAACAGGACTTTTATTTCCCAGGACTTTTTTTTTTTTTTAATTAAAACTAACAGATTAATTTTTTTTCCATTTTCAAAAATTTGAAATGTTGTCTTGGTAACTAAAAATACAATATTTATGAAATATATTTTAAATATATATAAATATATTACATTTATATTTTATAAATATAGTTCATGAAATAAATCATTTAAGTTCAAGTACTAAAATGACCAACATTCAAACTGAAATAAAAATACACTAGATAGAAAATAAATATATATATATACAAATATAAAATAATAAAAATATACAAATAAAAGCTAATTCCAAATTTTTAAATACATTTTATAACAATATATAAACCATACAAAATTAAACAATCAAATTCAAAGCAGAAACATGGCTTCATAACATGCCTTCGTGCATTTTTCCTACTTTTCGAACATGTTATTTATAGATTGTATTGTTTCACTCAGACTTACAATCTTAAAATATTCAAAAATAAGCAATATGACATTTAACTTGTTTACCAAAGAGACAAGATGAACTATGAAAGCAGTAAATGTCAATTATGCAATTAACCTTAGAAAAAAAAAAAAATGACAGACTTTTCCTGAGATATTCATGTCCACTGTGGAACATTGTTGGAAAATAAAATAAACGCACTTAAGTTGAAGAGACACCCAGTTTTTTCTCAAAATGTTTTCATGAGGTTCACACTTCTAGAAATCAGTCACATATATAATTTTGCATTAATAAAAAGCTTTGAGTTTGGCAGATTCACAGTTCCCAGGACAACATTCCCAGTTGCCCCCCAATGATGGGCCTGCTCCACACTAAAAGCTCTAGTGTGAAAACACCATTCTTTTGATGACAAAACTATTTTGCTAATCATTTTATGGTCACCAAACAGCAATTAAGAACAGCCTATGAAAACAGAGGACGGGAGAACAATCACATTCTGATTTAGACTGAAAAGTACCACGTCTGAAAATGGCAAAAGAGGATGCACCAGAAAATGAGCCGAATAGCATGAACGAATAAAACGAGAATCGAGTTTGTAATCCCTCATTGTAATAACATTAAGACGGTAGATGCCCGCAGGCCGGGCACGTGGTGGGGAAGTCATTACTGAGTGTAATTAAAGCTTGAAATCTCTTTTTAGCCACCCTGCAGTCTTCCCGTCTGCCTCTCACTCCTCCTCTCATTTCCTCCATTTCTCTTCCTCCGTCTGGCCTGCGCTGACCATCTCAAAACTGATCACTCCTCTCAGATGATGAATGGAAAACATGGATTTTGTATTACGCATGGTTGTGAAACGATGCCTCCACATTCGGCTACTCTTCTAGGCAAAAAGCAAATGACACATTAAATGTGTTAAAGGTAATTAAGTTTGAATAATA